AGAATAGAACAAAAATGAGAAAACGCGAAAAACGCGTTACATACAATAGGGGGTGGGAGGGTAATGACACTATTGAGTGGAATAGAATGGGGGAGGGAATGAGTAACAGAATTTGTGGACTGGGCTGACTGCTAGTATGTTATAATGAAAGTTGATATAATAAAACGTGATATAATGCACCAGGCACGTTTGATCTGAATCCACGGTTTGGCAAAATCCATGACTTCAATTTGTTTGACGCGACTTTTTTTGGACTCCCGGAGCAGTTGTCGGAAGCGGTTGACGCACAGGCGCGGATGCTTCTCGAGATTACCTACGAGGCCATTATGGATGCCGGTCAGTGCACATTCAATCATGATGGTTACTTTCTGATAAATTATTCACTATAATTGAATCTTAAGGAACTCTTTATGTGCTAACACTTTAAGTGTTTTGCAAAATATTATTAATTATGATTATGTTTTAGGAAGCAGTTAGTGCTCGTCGTTAAAGCTTCATTATAAGTTACAATTTATAATTATTTTAAACAAAAATTTAAATAAAATAAAGCTTATTTTAGAATATTTTTAGAACACGGACAATTTAGAATATGTTTTAATTAGACCGAGATTTTGTATAACCGTTGTATCGCATATTTGAATTGTATGGTTGAATACAATGTCGTACATAAATGATAAGCCAAATGTCACCAAAAATGCAGTTGTGGTCTAGAATCTAGATCTTTAACTCATATAAATAACTAGAGAATTGTCATATAATAGTTAATAGGTATGGCAGAAACTTTTTTGTACAGTTTTGTCAATAATGTACAATTTTAAAAATATAATAATGATTATCGCAACTATTTTATAAATGTATAACATTAACTGAATAGAGGATTTTTTGTTACCCTTTGACTAATTTACTATTACTTAATTAATACTTAACTTAATTAATACTTTTATGAGTCTGAATATTAAATGCCTCATCAAGTTTTGGCTCTATTTATAAATTATAAACTACAAACAAACTTTTAATAATTACACGATTATATTATAATGTTAGACACTTTTGGGAAGGTTCTTATTTTCCCAAAATCTTTCCCCTCTTCCCTACAGATCGATCCTTTGAATCTCTGTACAACATTAATATTTATACAAATTCATGCAGGTGTAAGTCCGCAATCACTACGTGGTAGTAAGACTGGTGTATACGTTGGTGTATCCATATATCCCATGGCTGAAGGTTATCCCGACGAAATTCAGCCCGATATGAAGCAAAGTTTGCAGAGAGCGACCATGCAGACCTTCTCCAATTTGAAATCCCTTTACGCCAGTCGTATATCATTTGTGTTTGATTTCAAGGGCCCGTCACTGCTGGTGGACACCGCCTGTTCGGCCAGTCTATCGGCCACTACTCTGGCTATGAATGACATGAAACTCGGTATGCGACTCATCACTAAAAATAAAGCACAATATTTTACGCAAAATTGCGATTAAAATGCATTTAATGTTTACCATATTTTAAACTCTAGGAAACATCGATACGGCTATCGTTTGCGGCACTCATATGCTGTTCGAGCCATTCGTACTGCAGTTCCAACAGGAGTCGGGTCTGTGTTCGCCCAGAGGTGTGGCCGCAGTCCTCGACCAGAACGCCGACGGCTTCATCAAAGGCGAGGCCGTGTGCTGTGCTTNATCGTTTGCGGCACTCATATGCTGTTCGAGCCATTCGTACTGCAGTTCCAACAGGAGTCGGGTCTGTGTTCGCCCAGAGGTGTGGCCGCAGTCCTCGACCAGAACGCCGACGGCTTCATCAAAGGCGAGGCCGTGTGCTGTGCTTTCCTACAGCGCCGGTGCAATGCTCGACGTGTTTATGCGACCATGGTCAACGCTAAAATGAACATCGATGGCAATAAAACGAGCGGTATGTTCTTCCCATCGGCCGACGCACAGGAAGAGCTCATGATTGACACTTACAACGAGGTCAATGTCAACCCGCTTGACCTCACCTATTTCGAAGCTCACTGTACCGGCACCAAGGTACAATTTAGAAATTCTTTAATTTATAATATGTTTATTATTATTACATTATATTTTTTGAAACTTTCATACAATCAATTGTTTAATAAATACATGCTATCGCTTAGGCGGGCGATCCGCAAGAAATAAAGGCCATATATAATGCCTACGTTAAGGCTCCGGGACGTACTGAACCCCTGCCGTTGGGTGCGTTGAAGAGTAACATCGGTCACGCGGAGGCCGGTTCAGGGATGGCGGCACTCATTAAAGTGTGTATTGTATACGAGAATGAGTGCATTCCTCCCAACCTTAATATGAAACAACTGAAGGATGAATGTCTTCCTTATTGTCCGCCTATAAAGCCTATTGTGGAGTCGATGCCATACAATCCAGGTTTGCTTTCAACACATTTATGTATAATTATTAGCAACTTAAGATTATTGGCAAATTAAATATACAAATGTTAACGTGATTAGATAATATCTATTTTAATAAATTATTTAAAATGCATGTTATACTAGGGTTGGCCGCAGTGAGCAATTTTGGTATCGGCGGTGCGAACGCACACGTATTGCTCGAACCAAACCATAAGTTGGGAACCAGTGATGGACTGAGAATTGCGGAAACGATTCCCAGAATTGTTAACATTTGCGGCCGAACTGAAGATGCGGTCAAATATGTGATGGATTTCATACAAANATGCGGTCAAATATGTGATGGATTTCATACAAAACAACCCAAAGAGAGTGACGAATGACTTTTTGGCACTTTTGGCGCAAACTATGAAATACACGCCTAATGTTAACTCATCGGGAATGCCGTTCAGGGGTAGGATTTACTTGTATTAATTATAATGGTTATTATTTAAATAATTTAATTAATTAATTCTAACTAGGTTCACTTATGATAACAAAGATGTCGGAAAGCAGTAATAATATTAATTACGAATATAAGAGACAGCAAATAGGCTTTCAGAAAGGAAAAAGTGCTCGACCTCTATGGGTACTGTTCCCGGGTTTGGGCGGTCAGTGGCCGGCAATGGCTAAGGCTTTGATGAAAATCAAGATATTCGCCGATAAAGTGGAAGAATGCCATCAAATACTCAAAGAGTTTGGCATTGATTTGAAAACAATGTTATTATCCGAAGACAAGGCATCCATGGCTTCAATGACCGCAAAGTTTTGTTCGACGACTGCTATAGAGATAGCGTTGTTTGAAGTGATGAAAGCGCTGGGCATCACACCCGACGGCATAATTGGCCACTCGTTTGGAGAGATAGCCTGTGCTTACGCTGACGGGTGTCTCAACACAAGGGAAGCAATGGTCGTCACATCAATCCGAGGCATAGTCACTGAAAATAACAAAACTATACCCAAAGGACTGATGGCTGTCGTGGGGTTACCCAAGTCTGAGGCTCAAAAGTTGTGCCCAAACGGTGTTTATATTGCATGTAATAACGCTAAGGATAGTGTTGTTATTTCCGGTAAATAGTTCATAAAAATCTATTTAAATTAATTAAATGTTTAATAAATACATAATTTCATACTTTAAAGGCCTGGAAAAGGAGATGAAGGAAACGATTAAAGTAATGGCCGACAAAAATATATTTGTCCGCCAATTAGAGAGCAGTAATATTGCCTATCATTCAAAATACATCCAAACCGCTGCCCAACCGTTGATCGACGCCATCAAGAGATGAAGGAAACGATTAAAGTAATGGCCGACAAAAATATATTTGTCCGCCAATTAGAGAGCAGTAATATTGCCTATCATTCAAAATACATCCAAACCGCTGCCCAACCGTTGATCGACGCCATCAATAAACATATACCGCATCCAAAGCCGCGCTCCAAGAAATGGTTGTCCACTTCACTCATGAGCGCCGACCCGACAGAGGAAGCCCTGCGGTACGCGTCGGGCGAGTATTTTGCCCACAATTTGGTTAACCCCGTCATGTTTTACGATCGCATTAAACAACTGCCGGCCGACGCCATTGTGCTAGAGTTAGGACCGCATTCACTGTTTGGCAAAATAGTGAGCGAAACACTCAATGACTGCTCTTATGTATCGCTCATTAAAAAAGATTCAAACGACAAGAATATAGACTTATTTTTGTCCGGTTTGGCCACTCTATACGAGTTGGGCGTCAATCTGTCGCCGGATAAACTGTACCCGCGGTGTGAGTGGCCGGTGGCCCGCAATACACAGTCGATTAACTCGTTGATCAAATGGGATCACAGTTTAGACATTCCGCGCCGCGTATATCCGGAGCGCTATAATCGGGGAAACGCCGCTGACATGAATGTTACCATCAATTGTGGCACAAAAGAGGACGAGTTTTATTTGGACCACTCCGTAGACGGCAACCCTATATTCCCGGCCACCGGATTTTTAATGCTGGCCTGGCGTAAATTGGCGGCCGATATGGGCAAACTATGGCAGAGCGTACCCGTTATATTTGAGAATGTTCAATTGAAAAGGGCCGTATTTTTGACCCAGGACCAAAACACTATTCTTACAGTGAAATATTTTCCACTAACAGGTTAGTTATCTTTGTATGGTTTAGTATCACCGAATTATTAAATATAATTGCCTAATTGTTTATTATCTTGATTTATTAAAATTAATCTAGGTGATTTTTCAATATACGAGAACGAAAACGCATGCGTGTCGGGCAAAATTCGTGCGCCGGGCGATGACGTGCTAATCGCACAGCACCTGCTCTACGACAATGAGTCCAAACTATCTCAGCGCCAGTACTCGCTTAATAGGGCCGACATTTACAAAGAGTTGCGAATTAATGGTTTAGACTACGGGCCGGCGTTTCAACGGCTCAACAAAGTGGGCACAAATGACTTCAACGAGTTTTACGGTGAGTGCGAATGGGACGGACAGGTTGTCACTTATTTGGACGCGTTGTGCCAAACGCGGGCAATAGCGGTGCCGGTCCGCAAAATGCTGTTACCGGTGCTGATCCGCAAATTACGGCTCGACCCGCGCCTTATGTTTGACGCTTTCAAACGGCACAGGAGTCAGAAGGAGGTGACGACCGGTGAGGGCGCCGACAGCCTTAATTCGACCATAATGATCGATATGGACGGCAACACTGTTGACACACACGTGGTCTCCGACAACAGCGGCGAACAAAACACAATTCAAGAGGTCGTGGAGAGAGAAAAAGTGCGATTCAACGAACGCTTCGCCCAATACTCGTCGCGAATACCGTTTTATTGCAATTTGGATACAAAACAATTGGTTTCGCCCGGCGTTGAACTCGAAGAGGGCGTCGCGTTTCCCGTTCCCCGACGTACGGACACAACTGGTCTGGTCTTGGATTCGGCCGAGTTTTGCGCCAACGATGACAATCACGCCATCGATGACTGCTTATCGGTCGTTGTGTTTAAGTATTTAGAGGTTATTATATTTTTTAATTAATAATTTTCATACAGAATAATATTTTGCGAAATTAGTATAACTAATAAATTTATTGTTAAATCATAGGTTTGTAAGTCAATGGCAGCCAAAGTAAAGCAATTATGTGTTAAAGAAATGAAATGCGATTTTAATTACCAACAAATCACTGAAGAAGTGCTGCAAGAATTGCGGAGCGAAAGCACTGAAAATTATGTTATGTTTCGTACATTTGATAAATTATTGGCAAAAGTTGTCGACAAAAATCATAATAAATTGAACGATAGAGAAGTAGCAAAAATTTTGAATGAAATGCAAACAAATAGTGAATACGATTTGAGTAAAGATTTGGTGAATCAGATCCAGAAGAATGAACGTATGATCAGATCATTGGTGGAAATTGTTTGCGAAAATTATGTAACAAATAATGATTTAAAAATCACTGAAATTAATATGAGTAACAATTTTATGGTCAAAGATGTGGAACAGATTGTCACACATTTTCGTATACTTCCCTTTGAAGTCGATTACAAACTAATTGTTAAAAGTAAACAATCGGTGAATGAAATATATAAACAAAGAGCTACTGAATGGCAACTTAAAGATGACATACCATTAAAACCCTCGCATTTGGTTATAATGAGAGACTCACAAGACTTATGGCAAATGGATTTAAATAAATTCACACAAGAATTGTTTGACTCCATAAACAGCAATGGATTCCTATTATCGGTATTTCGGTATAAGTTTACGGAACCGGAGATTGCGTTCATGTCTTTGACGGGAAACACAATTCCCAGTAATAATGAATTGGATTTAAGAATCAAAAAGTTTGTATCGATTGCCACTAAAACTGGATTCAATTTAATCGCAGCAAAAAGCGATATAATCGGTACTCAATGCCTAATGTTTAGGAAAATCATTCACAAACCCATAGAACCTGAAAAACACAATGTTATCAAAATAACTGGTGATTATAAGCAATGGTTTGAAGTGTTGCAGAAAAAACTGATCGCTGCTAAAGAGGCGGACAATAAAACCGATAACGTATGGCTTGTGGCGAATGACTCGTATATTAATGGTATCATTGGTTTAATGAATTGTTTGCGTTTAGAACCGGGCGGAGAGAACTTCCGGTATATCTTCCATATGGACACCAATACTGGCGCTAACATTGACTTCAATACTAAACCCTATTCTGATATATTGGCCAACGATTTGGTCGCAAATGTTATCAAAGGGGGAAAACTGGGAACTTATAGACACTTAAAACTTCCCAATGATTTTGATAAATGTGTTTCAAATGATTATTATCTAAACTCCGGCACAACAAGAGATTTAGCGGGTATTCAATGGTATGATTCCCGGAAATTACCCGAAATTAAAAAGTATTGGAATTTGAATAGCGAAGAAATTTCCAAAACACGGGTTGAGATATACTGTTCGGGCATTTCATTTCACGACGTTATGGTCGCTTCAGGTAATCAAATATTTTACTTTATTTTATATAATAGGGTAATTTATTATTTTGTACACATTTTGGCATGATTGCTAAAATTTTATTTTTTAGGTCGTATACCCGCCGGTCCGGAACAGATATTTTCCGATTGTACCATGGGCATTGAATACGTGGGCCGTCGCGTGGATACCGGGGAACGTGTGATGGGTATAGATGTGGGCCGTACTGTTGCCACATCATTGAACGCTGGCACTCATAGCATGACTACAGTTCCCGAGCACTGGTCGATGGCAGACGCGGCCACTATATTGAGCACATATAGCACTCTGTTTTACGCGCTCATCAAAAGGGCTAATCTTAAAAAAGGTTTATTTTTATATCATACAAATGTGACACTAATTAATTTTAATTGTTATATTATGATCCGAAAAAATTAACATTACTATTTAATTTGTCATAAGTATTATAATATGTAATTAGTGTTTTAACAACAAATATTTTGATTTTAGGTGAAATCTATTAATAATTAGCGAATAATAATATTCAACATTTTAATTCAACTTATGGCAATATACTCAAATGTATTAATATTATTTTCAATTACCCAGGTGAAAGTATATTAATACACTCCGCGGCGGGAGGTGTGGGTCAGGCGGCCATCAATATGTGTAAGCATTACGACTGCGATATCTTTGTAACGGTTGGGACGGAAGAGAAGAAACAGTTTTTGATGAATGAATACAATATACCGGAGGAAAGGATCTTCAACTCAAGAGATATAGTATTCAAGAGTCAAGTGTTGAAACTGACGGCTGGAAAGGGTGTGGATATTGTGTTGAATTCATTGGCGGGCGAGAAGTTGGACGCGTCCTACGAGTGTGTGGCCAATAGCGGCCGCTTTGTGGAGATCGGTCGGTACGACATGTTTCAAAACAAACAATTGGGCATGTTTGATTTTGTGCGCAATATTCAATTCATCGGTATTGTTATCGACATCGTTATGGATGGACTGGATTTTTGCCCCGATTTCTACGATTGGGTTCACAAAAACTCTACGAATGGTTGCGTTAAACCATTGAATTATACATTGTTTGAGGCCAAGGATGCGGACAAAGCGTTCCGTTATATGACAACCGGTAAACATATGGGAAAAATTGTCATTAAAATGAGAGACGAAGAGATGGATAGGCGGCCATTGAAAGCGATAAAACCGGCCGTAAATATGAATGTAATGATTAAGACATTTTTCGATCCAAACAAAGTCTATATAATAACCGGAGGTTTGGGTGGTTTTGGTCTGGAATTGATTCCATGGATGCAATACTTCGGCGCCCGAAAGTTTGTGGTCACCTCCCGGTCAGGCCTTAAGACTGATTATCAGAAATACGTTTTCAATCGATTCACAAAAACTCTACGAATGGTTGCGTTAAACCATTGAATTATACATTGTTTGAGGCCAAGGATGCGGACAAAGCGTTCCGTTATATGACAACCGGTAAACATATGGGAAAAATTGTCATTAAAATAAGAGACGAAGAGATGGATAGGCGGCCATTGAAAGCGATAAAACCCGCCGTAAATATGAATGTAATGATTAAGACATTCTTCGATCCAAACAAAGTCTATATAATAACCGGAGGTTTGGGTGGTTTTGGTCTGGAATTGATTCCATGGATGCAATACTTCGGCGCCCGAAAGTTTGTGGTCACCTCCCGGATAACCGGAGGTTTGGGTGGTTTTGGTCTGGAATTGATTCCATGGATGCAATACTTCGGCGCCCGAAAGTTTGTGGTCACCTCTCGATCCGGCCTTAAGACTGATTATCAGAAATACGTTTTCAATCGTTTCAAAACTTTTTACCAAAAATTTAAACTATTTGAATGTCAATGGATTGTCTCGACTGTCAATGGGTTCACAATTGAAGGTACAAAACAACTGCTAAATGAAGCAAAAACGTTGGGACCCATTGGAGGGGTATTTCATTTGGCGATAGAATTGAATGACTGTTTGATAGAAAAGTTAACGTTTGAAAAGTTTTGCTCATCTATTGATACAAAACACAAGATCTTCGCAAATCTGGATCAACTGACCCGACAATTGGATTATACATTGGATTACTTCGTAATGTTTTCGTCCATAACTTGTGGTAAAGGAAACGGCGGTCAATCCAACTATGCTTTTGGAAACTCCATGTGTGAGCGTATATGTGAAGAGAGACGTAGGGATGGTCTGCACGGACTCGCCATACAATACGGACCCATCGGTGATGTGGGAGTGTTTGAAGGGTCGGATCAGTTCATGGCATTCACAACAATACGAAAGCAGAGAATAAACTCGTGTTGCGATGTTTTGGACAAACTTTTATCAATCAAACAACCGGTCGTCACATCTCATGTATGTTTGATATTAATTTGAAAAATTTTAAAACAATCTCAAAAGATTTATACAATTTTATAGATTAAAGTGGATATGAGTGCCAAAGAGTCGGGCAGTAAAAAGTCACGTCTGATCGCAGAGTTGTGGCGCGCGTTGGGTATCGACCCGGAGGTGACGCCCAACCACTTGACTCTCGGCGAGATAGGGCTCGAGTCGATGTTCGCCGTAGAGTTGCAGCAGGAGTTGGAGAGGGAGTGGAATTTAAAAATAACCTTAAATCACGTCAAGAGTATAACCATCGGTATGTTGAAGGAATACGAGGTGGGCAATACTTCCACTGTAAAAAAGCACCTGGACGAAGTGAAACAAGCCAGGGCCAATTTGTTGAAACAAAAATTTGTAATTCCCACCGAAACCCACACCCGTCTAAACGCCGTGACCAGCGGTCGACCCGTATATTTAATGCCAACTATTTTATTGAATTTCACCATGTTTGAGCAGTTGGCACAATCACTTAATCGACCTGTAGTGGGGCTCAATTGGATGCGAGAAATGTCCAAAATGACCACGATCAAAGATGTAAATCAGTACTTTATCAAACTGTTAAAACAACTCGAACCAAACGGTGGGTACGATGTGGTCGGCTATTTAGACGGTGCCATCACTTGCAGCAAATTGTTGCTCAAAGAAATGGCAGACAAAGCGGTGATTATTGATGTTTTCTCCGACGAGAGATTCAATTCGGATCAGCTCTCCGAAGAAGATTTGTTGGTTTTTACGATGAATATATTGTTCATCGAAATGCCGGACAGTCTTAGGGATAAGATTGTACGCGATTTAAAGAAAGAGACCGACACTAAGGCCCGCATACGACTCGTCACTACAGAGTTGGTTGACTTCGCGGGTAAAGGTCTGGTGGCGCCCGATATCGACGAGATATTTGCCATTTTGTTGGCCAGACTTCGGATGCTTTTGTCTTATAGGGCGGAGAAGAGGAAGAAGTGGTCGAATCGGCTCAAAATGACAATCGGGAAAAAGTGGTCCAAACGTGTGGGTAAATTGATCATGGTCAAACCATTTCTATTGGACAATGTGGACGATGTCGACGAATTGATTGGCAAATCACGCGACGCATACTTATTACCCGCCACACAGGTTTGATATACCAATTTACATTTTATTTACTAATGAAAGTCTCTCTCTCTCTCTCTCTCTCTCTCTCTCTCTCTCTCTAAATAATAACTAACATATTTAATTTGACCATGATGATGATGTCCAGGACGGCAACGATAATATCGAGGTGTCGATAATCAATAGTATTCCTAATTTGGATCAAATGAACGCCGAAATGAATGAAAAAGTTTTGGCTGCCCTTCAATAAATGTTACATTAACTTTTTTCGCATTTTATATTGAATATTAAGTTTTAATTGTTTAATTAACTACACAACTTTTAAATTCAAAATAATTAGTTAATTAGATAGAGAAATTAATTAATAACATTGTTGTTGTAAGTAATTAATAAATTACTTTAAAGATTGCTCAAAGTTAAAGAACCTACGTCATACAATGTGACAGGTATTTGCGGATGTTTGTTAATAAATTTTTTATACATGTTGGATATTTAAATTTTATTTTATCACAATTTTTCACTATTATTATATTATTTGCTACTAATTTGTATCTTAATCTGGTTATTTTAATAATATTAAATGACAAATTTTTACCATGTAATAATTTTCATGGCAAAATTAACTAAAAAATAAATATTAATTTTTAAAATATCACAATTGATATGTTATTATCCGAGGATTTAATTTTTATTAATAGATATTATTTAAATATTGACAATATTGAAATTATCCCAATAGATGCAAGACCTTAAATTTATTTATTTATTAACAATAAATAAATACCAATTATTTATTTCTTTATTTATGTCATTCCTTATACTATGATTTTTAGTTTTGTTGAGATTAAAAAACCAATACTTATATCTAGGACTGGTCAACATAGATGTTTAACTTATATAGCAAGTTTGAGGGAGATAAAATGCAAGCAATATTTATTTATACAGTTTTACTATAATCATCTTATTAAATAAAATATAATTGATTAGTTAATCGTAATTGCTTATTATTTTAATATATGGTAATATATGGAAATATATAAATATATTAATTTATGGCAATAAATTTGCAAAAAAAAAATATTATTTATTACTTTATCTTATAATTTTATTTAAAGTCTCAAATTTTATAACTTTTTATACAGTACTTGATGTAATTATTAAACCACTAGGTTCTTATATAACATATTACATTTAATAACTAATGCTAAAATAATATAATTTAAAACAATGTCTGAACATAACGAATCAATTAATAACAGCATTAATAATAATAATAATAGCAATATAATCAGTTTGTCTGACAAACAGATTGATAAAAATGTGTGCAAAATAGATATTGATTGCAATTATAAGAAAGTTTGCAAATTATTTGGCTATGGATTGAGTGAAATAAAGTGGTCAAATGTAATATTTTTATTGAGCTTACATATTGCGGCCGTATATGGCTTTTACCATGGGCTCACTACAGATGTAAAGCTGGGAACCGTTATATTTGTATCCGTTTTGTCCAGTTTCTCTGGTCTGGGAATGTCTGTCGGTATGTCTTTGCAAAAAAATCTCATTGAATTTTTACTAAAATTATTAAATTATAATGTTAATAATAATAAAATTATTCAATTTGATCAGGCTCGATGTTTGGGAAATTACTACCAAAGACATTAACATTTATGTGACCGTTAGTTCCGGGGGTGATAAATCTAGTTATTTGTGTTGGGCTGACGAGGACGTTGGGGTATATTTGTGTACGAAACACCGTGATAATATACCCTTAATATAATAATATAAAATAGTCTTGCTGTAATTATTACTAATAATGAACATGGGCATACTTTCTAAACAGCTGACCAGTACACCGCCGCCTGACTTTACGACAGCAAACACAAAGATCTGACCCATGAGTCACTTCAGGAAAAGTACCTTTACATTCAATATGTGATTAATAAGACTATGGACCCGGAGTGGCCGCAACATCCACACCAATACGGAGACCTTTCCATAGCTAAAATCCCGGTGTCTCAGTTCATGGGCCCCAAAAACCCTCCCAAACCCTTCAATACAGGCGCAAAGGCTGTCGACAATTGCGATGCCATTCCCTCTCAGGATGTGTTCATTTATATGAAACAAAAACAGATTTTGTCCGCAAAGGATATCAATGAGAAACAACGGTATTGATTGCAAACAAACTTATATTTAATTAATAGTTTTGTGAATTAATTGTGAATTTCCTTTATATAGATATTTGTCTAAATTGAGTGATGTGTTGAAAGGCAGACAATATGTGGACAATGTTTTGCTTGAATTTGTTGATAGTATTAAACATTTAATAAAAATGAACACAAATTCTGTGTTTAACACTAAACAAGAGCTCAATAACAGAGAGTGTTATCGAAAATTTGTCGACAATTTCAACGATAATTGTTTTAATATAAATCAGGTATTAATTCATTATTTATTAAATAACTAATATTTTATATTAATAATAATATATTAAAAATCCATAACATTTGTATGCGTTCCACAAATTGGGAGTATTTGTAAACATTTGTGAATCGTTGGCACAAACGAGTGATGCGGACATCGCTGTCAACCAATTGATCGCAAGTTGTACTCAACGCTCAAAACACGAGTTTCTAAGCATTCGATAAACTTAACACTAATTTTGTATTAAAATTTAGTTTTGTTTTTATTTACAATAAATATTTGAACTATTTCAAACATTTTTATTAAAAGCAATTCTTATTTAGGGTTGCCCTTAGTTTAAATCTTTCTAAATTTGATTGTAAACACCAAATGATATACAAATTAAATCAAATGTAAATTCTATTAAATTGTATAATATAATTATAGAATATAACATTACTGTCATGTAGCAGATTAAAATATAAATAAACGTTTTTATCAATTTAAGATGCAATTATAATTTTAGATTTTTACGTTACATTACTCACTATCAGTGCTTTGAACACAATTATGGTCACAATTGGCCACAAAAAAGTGGTCAAACCCAGAGTCCAGTCAACAAACTTTTATTGTTTCTTTAGACAAAATACTCGGCAATTCCTCTGCATTTAATCACTTGTCGGATGAGCTCAACTCTATATGTTTAATGTTATTTTAATGGGACAATGTTTTACTATTGAGAATTGTGATAACCGAATATAACAACTTAAATTGAACTAGTTGTCAAAAACATTTAAAATTATCAAAATAATAATAGTTAAAGTATTCTAACAAAAGCATTAAACACGGATCACACAGTAATGCTATACGTTAGCCACAATTCGGGTATTAGGATCAGCATTATTGTTGCACAGTCCTGGTTATAAGCAATTAAAAATCTTATGACTATTTTAATTGCCTATTCAATAGACTCTATTGTAACTATTCTAGATTAACTACCTTGAAATATAATACCATGAAACAAGGATTACACAACGATGCTATACGTTAATCACAATTCGGGTATTACTCAAAGAATAGGTTGGCATTATTGTTGCAAATTCCTGATTATAAGCAATTAAAAATCCTATGACTATTTTAATTGCCTATTGTAACTTTTCTAAATTATTTTATATATACCTTGAAATATAATTCGCATATTATAATTAATGTTAAAAGAATAACCTTGATCAAGTGATAACATAATTATTATATATAATAAGTGTTTACCACATTTTATCATCTACATATATAAGACGATTACAATTGGCATAAATTTTATACCCATAATTAGGAAATTTATACTGTATATTAATATAAAGTTTAGTTATTATGTTGAGGGCCAAATAAATTAATTTAAAAATAATCACCGCTTTCATTCAATTTGCATTTTTATAGGTTTCAATTAAAAAAAATTAAACTGTAAAAATATATCCAACCATTGTCAATTATATATAGCTCGAGGAATTTATTTTATTTATTATTTTAATTAAAAAATTAATGTTTAATGTAATTAATAGATATTTTCTAAGATTTTTAAAATAAATTAGAATAAAGAATAGAATTTAATATACAATACTTATTTAACTGTAAATTATCAACTACAATAAACGTTTAATATAAAATTTTACTCATTTTTAAGCATTAAATGTTAAATCATTCAAATTTGAAATCATTTTATTTTGATGTCATTTATCAGGACCGGAGAATTCAAGTTACAAGGTTTTTCTATAATTGAAATCAGGGAATTTAATAAAAATAGTTTATGTTTTAAGTTTACCATTTTAGTTTTGACGTCAATCAGTAATAATCA